TCATTATTAACATTATGATTATCATGTTATCAACCATAATGTTAGCAATAAAAAATGAAAATCAAATCTTTCCAAAAAATGTGATAGGTAGGACTAGTAATTGAGCCATCTATGTATAAAGATAATCAATAAACAAGAAACACTCAGTGAACATGGTATATATTTCTGGGTTGATATTTCCTAGAATTACTAACTTAATATTTGTTACAAATTATATATACCTACTATTTATTACTCAACATAAGATACTTAATATTCACTCTTTAATGCATATTCCCAACATATGCCAGACCTCCTTACTTACCAGAGAGGGTCATCTTCAGTGACCGAGAAAACGTAGTGGGTCATGTAATAGATGTTAGCTACCAGGTGTGAGCACTGTGCCTGGACTACCACAGTGGTCAGCAGAGCCATCAACTCTTCCTTGGTTAACTCCAGCTCTGGTTCTCCCTCTGCAGACAAGGAATAAAAATAGTCAATGCATCATATGATTTGTAATATCATTGTATGTAACTGTGAATAATGGGAATATAATATTCATCATCTGGCGCTGGACTACAATCATCAAAGAAACACATTTTTTACCTAGGAACATCAATCTCCTTCACCTTCCTAGTTGCTACATTTGTTCTAAAAGTAAACTACACTCAAATCTCCATTAAACATAAATACATAAATACCTTGATCCTTATACTGGTGGAGGGTGACCCGAGCCTCCTTGGCCTGTGCTTGGATGAGCTCGATGGTGGAGTGGACACATTGCAATCTACCTATGGCACTCTCCACACTTGCCAGGGAAGCTAGCTCAACAACCTGATACAGAAAAATTACACTGTATTTCAGAACAGAAAAAAATTATTGAAAATTAGGTATATGGTATGAATACAAACCCAATTCTGCCGGGGAAAATTAATAAAAAATGGGGAAAATGCTGTGCTCATTTTTTTATATCTTTTTGTGAAATGTCTCTGCACATAGATGGCTCTGCTAGCCACAAAGGAGTCAATTGGTAGAGCTTATGACTTTACCAGATTTGAATTGGCGGGAAAAATGTATTTTTTATTAGTGCTGTGAATATTGATGGTGTTATTTTTATTATAATCTTTATAATTACTATAATTTGATAAACATTAGTAACAACAAAATAAGATAATGTAAAATATTTTTGCAAATCAAAGAAAAGGATAAACGGGAGAGACAGGCACTACTTGTAATTGACTCATTGGTGACTTAGTACAAGTGTGGCCATCTATGTGTAAAAACAATCAAACAAGTAACTCACAGTGGGCATGTCATACAAGTACACATCATGCCCATCAGCACTGGGATAAAATACACCACAGAATATAAAATCAAATCTGTATTAACACAGCACAGAACACACAGCACAGACTCACTACAGCTGACATATGAATAAAGTAGTAATCTTAAAATGTGACATTTGCAACATAGTACGAAGTCATAGCATTTTGAAGAAAATGTGTCCTTAAAAACAGAATCAACAGAACTGGTGCAACATAAAGCACATACACAGCATGTCAGAAGGTGTGCAGCTGTAAGGAAAAGCAGAACTAGGTAATACAAAAGGAATCAACATAGATAACAAGAAACAGCCATTCACAATTGGCAAAAGAGTGCAGTAAAGAAAACTGACAGAAAAGAAAACAAACAAACAAAAAAAGGAGAACAACATAAAGAATGCAGAAGGTAAAACAAAATGAGCAGAATCAAAAGAGTGTTATATTAAGAACATAAAGAACAGCAAAAGCCACGCAGTAAACTCAAAGCAGCTGGTAGAGGAGAGCAGCTCTAAGAGCAAACTCAGGAGAATAAAATCAGGTCACATCACAGACTCACGGCAGCTGGCAGAGGAGTGTAGTAGTGTGCCGGGACCCCCAACTGGAGGGCTGAGAGGTGAGCATGGCGGAGGTGTGACAGCCGTGTCTTCACCAGCTGGTCAACCACCTGGCATCGTTCACACACCAGCCACCAAAGCATCTCGTGGAGCCGCCCCACAACATAGCTGTGGATATAAGTTCTTTGTTGTAACAATGGATGTTGCAGAGAACTTGTTGATTCATATCTGCATGATCACATCTCTAACTTTGACAAGATTTTAATGTGTTATACAACAATGAAACAAGTAACAAAGAAGGAAAGGACCAACATCTTAAACACAAAATTTATATCAATACATACACTTCTGCAAACTAACACTAGTTATCACCCAAAAATGGTACTTAAAAATTCAGTCACAACAAACCTCAAGGAATCAACAATGCTAAAATCTAACAGAGCACAACCATACACATACACCAACCCCTAAAAACAACCATCCTAAAGTCTCATCCTTACTAGTCGAGGGCCCTGAAGAGCAGATCCTGAAACTTAGCATCAATCTGCATGGTGGCTGAGTGTCGTTTTAGCAGCAACTCCCAGCAGTGGATGAGGGTGTCCTGCAGGATGTTCTGCATGTGATCCACATTACTGGAAGGGTGGAGTGCATCTGCTGCCTCCTTCACCTTCTGGTCCACCTCCCACAGCATGGGCCGGTGGCAGCGGAACTTGCGCAGGAATTTTTCCGCTCTGTGGAGGCAAGACAATAAAATCTGTAACTGGGAAGCAGCGTTTCAACTTTTCTTTATCAAACAAACACAAAAAAAAATCCCAAAAAATAAATGCCTCACCCTAAAGGTCACCAGATATTCCGTGAGAACTGTTGCCTTGGAGACGACAACATCTGGCCCTTCTTCTTCATTGGAGATGATGACCCTTGGCTCTTCCCCCGTGATTTCATAGATGAGGCTGTCTCCATAGAGGGCACTTACATACTGACTCCTGTTTAGAATGGTGGAAGGAAAGATATTTAGGTAAACAGTGTGAGTGTGAGTGTGCACCAACATGATACCTCTAATTTCTGTATTCTGAATATTGCTTGAAATTATACAAGAATGATCATATTCTAACATTCTAACACCTGCTCCTCTAGATCCAAGGCTAATAAATGAACGGTAATAATGAATGACTACACAGCTTTTCCATAGAAATCATCATAAATCATGTTCTCTCACTTACCCTGATGTCCCATGTTGCTTCAAAGCATGTGCCTCTGTAAGGTTAAAATATGATTGCAGCTTAGTAATTTGAGTTTATTCCAATAAATATATCTATATCCATTTTTTATCCAATTTTAGTAGTACATAACTCCCACAAAAGTGTAAATTTGACAGAACTTACCTATAAGAGGCAGAGTAAGAGTCATATCATCTAGAACACTTTGCTGTGGTATGCACACTACCCAGCTTGGTTCGCACCAGGTGGCCAGTTCTTCCCCATGGTGTTCCTGAATGATAATGATTATATGATAATTAACAGGATTAATACACAGATAACTATAGTTAACAGATAGCTTGAGCTCCTTAATGATTACACTTTTTTTGACATCTGTAATATGAAGATTTAAACAAATACTAATAAAATGTTTTTTTTTTTTTTTTTTCTTCTTTTTTAATATATAAATAGCATGTCACCTGGATAATAATGAACTTATATAAAAGCTAAAATTGAATACATATATATAAAATAAATTTGAGCAGTCCGTAATAGAATATACTTGACTTCACGTTTATGTACAAACAAATAAATCAAACAGAAGGGAAAAAAAAAAAAAAATCCCAAACAATAAATGCCTCACCCTAAAGGTCACCAGATATTCCGTGAGAACTGTTGCCTTGGAGACGACAACATCTGGCCCTTCTTCTTCATTGGAGATGATGACCCTTGGCTCTTCCCCCGTGATTTCATAGATGAGGCTGTCTCCATAGAGGGCACTTACATACTGACTCCTGTTTAGAATGGTGGAAGGTAAGATATTTAGGTAAACAGTGTGAGTGTGAGTGTGCACCAACGTGATACCTCTAATTTCTGTATTCTGAATATTGCTTGAAATTATACAAGAATGATCATATTCTAACATTCTAACACCTGCTCCTCTAGATCCAAGGCTAATAAATGAACGGTAATAATGAATGACTACACAGCTTTTCAATAGAAATCATCATAAATCATGTTCTCTCACTTACCCTGATGTCCCATGTTGCTTCAAAGCATGTGCCTCTGTAAGGTTAAAATATGATTGCAGCTTAGTAATTTGAGTTTATTCCAATAAATATATCTATATCCATTTTTTATCAAATTTTAGTAGTACATAACTCCTACAAAAGTGTAAATTTGACAGAACTTACCTATAAGAGGCAGAGTAAGAGTCATATCATCTAGAACACTTTGCTGTGGTATGCACACTACCCAGCTTGGTTCGCACCAGGTGGCCAGTTCTTCCCCATGGTGTTCCTGAATGATAATGATTATATGATAATTAACAGGATTAATACACAGATAACTATAGTTAACAGATAGCTTGAGCTCCTTAATGATTACACTTTTTTTGACATCTGTAATATGAAGATTTAAAAAAATACATAAATAAAATGTTTTTTTTTTTTTTTTTTTTTTTTTTTTTTTTTTTTTTTTTTTTTTTTTTTCTTTTTCTTTATTAATATATAGATAGCATGTCACCTGGATAATAATGAATTTATATAAAAGCTAAAATCTATATACATGTATATAAAATAAATTTGAGCAGTCCGTAATAGAATATACTTGACTTCACGTTTATGTACAAACAAATAAATCAAACAGAAGTAAAAAAAAAAAAAAAAAAAAAAAAAAAAAAAAAAAAAAATCCCAAAAAATAAATGCCTCACCCTAAAGGTCACCAGATATTCCGTGAGAACTGTTGCCTTGGAGACGACAACATCTGGCCCTTCTTCTTCATTGGAGATGATGACCCTTGGCTCTTCCCCCGTGATTTCATAGATGAGGCTGTCTCCATAGAGGGCACTTACATACTGACTCCTGTTTAGAATGGTGGAAGGTAAGATATTTAGGTAAACAGTGTGAGTGTGAGTGTGCACCAACGTGATACCTCTAATTTCTGTATTCTGAATATTGCTTGAAATTATACAAGAATGATCATATTCTAACATTCTAACACCTGCTCCTCTAGATCCAAGGCTAATAAATGAACGGTAATAATGAATGACTACACAGCTTTTCAATAGAAATCATCATAAATCATGTTCTCTCACTTACCCTGATGTCCCATGTTGCTTCAAAGCATGTGCCTCTGTAAGGTTAAAATATGATTGCAGCTTAGTAATTTGAGTTTATTCCAATAAATATATCTATATCCATTTTTTATCCAATTTTAGTAGTACATAACTCCCTACAAAAGTGTAAATTTGACAGAACTTACCTATAAGAGGCAGAGTAAGAGTCATATCATCTAGAACACTTTGCTGTGGTATGCACACTACCCAGCTTGGTTCGCACCAGGTGGCCAGTTCTTCCCCATGGTGTTCCTGAATGATAAAGATTATTATACTTAATAAATTAACAGGATTAATACACAGATAACTATAGTTAACAGACAGCTTGAGCTCCTTAATGATTACACTTTTTTTGACATCTGTAATATGAAGACTTTAAAAAAATACATAAATAAAATGGTTTATTTTCTATTTCTAGGTATGACCTTGTCTTTCTCCTATCTACCATTTTCCAGATTCAGAAGCTGACCAACAATAAAGATATAAACTGCCTTCTGTCTGAGTAACAGATGAATCCTTTTGAAAGTTACTTCTCAGATATGAAGAAATTCTGCACAAATCACACCTGACTTCTACCATCTGCACAAGCCCTCAAGTGAGTAACAATAGAAAATGTTTCAACCTGTCACTATTAACCATTGGCCATCAGTACATATCTAGTTTAAGACAATCACTATCCACAAAATAAACAGTACATGGAATCTATTAGATAATTTCTCAGCTATGACACAATTGTTGCAAACTATAACTATCTAAGATATTTAATACCAAAAATTATTAAATGATGATGGTAGTGTCAAGTGATCACCATAGCCAGTGACTGGTTCCTTTTTGGACAATAAACTGCCAGGCAGGTCTAAAACTCTATAAGTTGTAGAAAATAAATATCACAAACAGGGTGTATTCAAATGTTCAAAGCACTTTGTTGCAAACATATCATTTGAGATGAAGTTCTTGTTTTAATTAGTAAGTCAAATGAAACACGGCACATGAATGGCTGATATTTATATATCAATGAACTTTTTCATTTCTGAAGAGATGACAAGTAACTTGACACTTGTTACTCCACTAATTCCCTGTACTGTTTACACTGTGGGTGATGTATGTCAGATAACAACAAGAGCAAAAATACACTATCTCTAACCTCTCTATATAATTACTTTACCTTTTATTCAAATATTCTATGGCCTACATCTATGTACTTAAGCTCTTGGGAATTTTATATTCACATAAAATATGAAGTTTCTAAACCTAATCATCAAATAATAAAAATCATAGCTCAAATTAACCACAGGTACATAAAAACATATATACATACAGATAAACAGTTACTTTATAGCTGCTGCATCGTGCAAGTATAACCAGAAACACGAGTTTGGAGTCAGAATATAAACAAACGACCAAAATGTACTATCACACAATATTTATCACAAACAATCCGAACTATGGTAACCTACATAGTTAAAACACGCAAACAACAACACAAACCAACAACGACAACACCAAAACAACAACACAAACAAACATGGAAATGACAACACACGAAAAAAATTGAACGCAAATTGAAATGCAAAAATTCCCAAACAATTTCCCCCCCCCAAAAAAAACTAACGTCAGCCTCACCTTAATGTGTTTATAAAACACATTCGCCTCAAGGGTCTCATCAGTCATTCTTCACACCCAAAAGCATCCAGGAAAGAGGTAATTAAGACCCTAATAACCCCAAGAGCGTGCCATGTCCGTCGTCATCCCACACGTGTTCTCGGATCAGCTGTTCAGGAATGTCAACACACCGGGGATACGACACTCCTCGTCTTTCTGGAGGACGGGTTTATATTATCTATTTTCATTATTTCTTAACGATTTGTTTGTAAGTTGTCAGCTTGTGATAGTTTCTGGTTTCCCTTATTTTAATTTAGTTTTGCGTAGTAGCCTTTTAATTATTCCTTATTTTCTTGTGCATTGTTTTAATATATATATATATATATATATATATATATATATATATATATATATATATATATATATATATATATATATATATATATATATATATATATATATATATATATATATTGTGGCCTTATGATGGTCTTAAATAACTTTTTTGTGTTTATATATTTACCTAGCTATTACAGAACTTTCTAAATATATATTTCAACAGTAATTTTCTACAGTATTTCGTTTTAAATACATCAGTGTTAAAAACCTAACTCCACACAAGTATGTAAAAACAACGAGTACGCCATTTAATCACCTTTACTACATAAAGAATTACACAGAAGGTAACAATATTTAAAACCTTGTAAGCATTAATTAATCCCCTATAATGTCATAACCCTGGTCAAGTTGACGTAAACAAAGGCCAGAATCAAACCCAAGCGCCTGCCAGACGTACGATTCCCGCGTGTACGACAACGTCTCCATTACTAAATCATATAGATATACTTTCATATTTTCAAGATGTTGGTGAATACTCCTCTATCTCCGTTATTTTTATTACCAAATTTACCTTCTCACAATTTTCTCTTATTTTATTTGATTTTTTATTTTGTATGTTTATGTGAAATGATAGAGGGATATAAGACGATAGCAGGTGATACATATTTCTTTAATTTTAACGTTATTATTATTATTATCAGTAGCACTATTATTACTATTATCGTCATCGGTATTATCAACATCATTATTATCAGCATTATTATTGCTATTTCTATTACTATTAGTAGTAGTAGTAGTAATAGAAGTAGTAGTAGTTGTTATTTTTGTTGTAGGGATGGTAATACCAGTAGTTATTGTTATTACCATTATCATGTTATTATTATTATTATTATTATCATCATCATCATCATCATCATCATCATCATCATCATCATCATCATCATCATCATCATCATCATCATCATCATCATCATTATTATTATCATCATCATCATTGTTATTATTATTATCATCACCATTGCTATTATTACCATTATTATCACTATTATTATTACCATTATTATCATTATTATTAATAGCATCATAATTATTATTACTATTATTATTATCATAATCATTACTATCATTATCGTTGTTATTATTGTTATCATTATCATTATTATTATTATTATTATTATCATTATTATTATTGTCATTATTATTACTATCATTATCATCATTATTACTATTATCGACATTATTATTATCATCATCGTTATTTTCATTATCATTATTGTTATTATTGTTGTTGTTATCATCTCCATTATCATAAGTATTAATATCATTATTAATAATATCACTGTTATTATAACTATTATCAATTATTTTATTTTTAGTAGTATTTGTGTTATTATCATTTTCATTACTTTCTTATTATCATCATTATTATAATTATTGTCATCATTATCATGATCATCATTGTCTATGATATTATCATATTTACAATCATCTTGATTATAGTTATTGCTATCATAATTAATATTATCATTATGATTATATCATAATTTTATTATCATCATCGTCATCATCATTATTATTATGATTATTATCCTTACCATTGTTGTTATTGTTATAATCAATACTAGTTTATTATCAATATTATTACTAATGTTATTATTTTTACTGAAAAAGTGGCAATAAGACCTCTGTATCAGTTGGGCTGCAGAGTTGTCGTAAATATTCCGTGGACTCAAAGGCATGTTGGCTTTGGTGTGGACGGCTAGTTTGAGGAAGGCGTCGATCGGGCAGGGTCGGCGGTCGCGTCATGGGTATCCATTTGCGAAGTAAGAATCATATGACACAGACACAGTAACGTGTACACAAAGATGAAAGGGAAAACATTTCTTACTGTGGCTGTTTTCCTTTTCATAAGAATTATATGTTCGTATTCGTGGCCATTATATCTCTCGACCGCAACCACGGTTCACGAGATTCCCGGTCCTCGTTAAAATCATCTTTCTCGTCGTCTTCGTCTCCACGTCCTCGGCGTCCCAAACAGGGTCAAAGTCTATAGAAGTAAATGCGCTAGCATTTAAAATTATTTTAGTGTTTGCCTAGTTTGTTACAGTTTTCTGTTATCTCCTTCCCCCGGTCTACCATTCTCTACCGCCTCTCCCCATTCTCAGCCACCTCCATGTGACGACATAGGCTTTATCACCCAAAGCTGCGCAGAACTCCGGAGTGACGAGACCTTAAGACCTTGTACAGTTACCATCATTACCGCATACTATATGAATGCGACACTAGAGCCATGATTTCGGCGTTGATTAAAGTTGGTAATTAATGATTACCTATATATAAAATGATGTAAGAATTTATACAAAATTGTAATCCAAGCAATAAATTTGAAAAATTTAACATGAGTGCAAATGTTATCACATTCGCTTACTTTTCGGTATGTGGTAACTATGATCCAGTATCCCTGTTCACTCGTCATCTTAAGCTAGACCCTCGGCAGATGAAACAGCGCAATGGTGCTTTGCATCTTGAGCCTCCGGGCTAGTACAATGATAACGTGTCGGCCTCTCATCCGAGGGGTCGATGGTTCGCGGCCCGCCCAGGCGCGAGAAGTTGCAATTGTCGCCTGGAGGTTACTGCTGTGGCTGGGCACCACGGCGGGTAAGGACTAAGCTCATACGAGTCAGCACCAACTGACACACTGTTAGCGAGTCGATATCAATCGGCACAGGCCGGGCTCCCCTCATATCCCGGGCGGGGCTCAGCTTCGCATATCGGACTTATCCTTTGCATCTTGCATCCACACCGGCAGCCGATGTTGTACTCCGTCCTGCTCTTCGACAAGTATTCCTCGAGTCGTGGCAGGCGGCGTCCTTCTGACGGCATCCTTGGACGCCCCTGTTTTCTGATTCTCAGCTGGCCTTCCACGGCCATTTTGGCCAGCGGTGCTCTCCTTTGCGGTCGGGGTGCCTTCGCTGACACGCCTTTGGTCCGCCGTCATACATACAAAACATACAAGGGAGGGCGGTAATCTGTATTTTTAAATTCTCTGCATAAATTAATTGATTTACACGGTATATAAGACAGACGGCAGCAGCAACCTGCAAGGATTTGCTTACATTAACAACCATCTCAAAATATAATGAGAAAGAAGGCATCAGGGAAAGTGCTACGCAAATATGCCACCCACTCGCCACCAGCGATGTAGCTATGGGCGACCACAGGGGTGCTCCCCTTTTCGTGCTTGAAAATCCTACGGGAACTTGTGGTTTGTGCAGGAATGGTCGCTGTTGCCTAGGAGACGGAGACTGAGGCCAGGGACCTCAGCCCTCACCTCAACAAATTTTGCATGATCTTTTATTCTTCCTCTTTCCTTTTCGTTTTCTTCATCCACTTCTTCTTCTTCTCCACTTATCATAATCGTTAACTCATTTTTACCCTTCTACCCACAATAGTTCATCTTAATGCTATACTTAAGGGCTTCGCCCCTCGGGCCTACCTTATCGTTGTAATTTGAATACGCCACTAATAACCTTAAATGTTGACACGGTAGATTTTTTTTTCAATGAAAATAATGAATGCATAAAGGAGAAAATGAATAAGTAAACGAATTTGCTTGGAAAGAACCTGAAGCACAAAATACGAACGTTCAAAATCATCACTGTGATCAATGGCAAAATTGACATTAATGCAGATTTCAGTTACTACATTGAATTCAGCACAGAATAATATGCGACGTGATATACACACGAGTAAAACAGTAACATGATGTTTTTGCAAGTGCTACACTGTTTGGTAAAACTTCACTACAAAAGTGGGATTTAAAACACTAGCTTGATGAAGTTATTATCTACCTTATATATGGTGGAATATAAAAGATTCGTCATGGGTTCCTGCACCCACCTTTTAGGAAGCGAAAGAGGAAAAAGAGACAATATTCAACTCTGTGACACACTCGCAACGACGACCTCAATGGGTATTTATCCATCATGAAACCATATGACCGACGAGGAGGATTTGGAATGTGCAAATGACTCCAAATCAGAAATAAAACATGTGATCGGCGATTAATGACTCTGGACTAAACCTTCGCCCTACGTCTTTTAGCGGACGCAAAGAAAGGCTTACACCAACTCGAACAAAGCCGTTCGAAACAAAATATTACTTCGCTTTCACAACTAACCTAGGTGACTGCAGCCATGTGTGTAGCCCGGCTGACACACGATGGGCTACATCCATGTAATACCCGGCCGAAGCTAGTTCTGGGAAATCTCAAAGGACTGGACTATTTAGGATCCAAGGATAGTGTTAGGGAGCTCTCCGGATCAGCGCTGAGGTGTGGGACCGTTCGGCACCTAATGTAATTGTGTATAGCAGTACTGTTATACAAGTTATAATGTTTATTGTAATGAGTACAAACGCATTCTATATAAAGTCAAATCTTGAGAGTATGAAAATGTGATTGAATAGTAAAGCACTGATGATTGTGAATAAAAACAACTATTAATTTTTTTACAATTTATTAAACGTTTTTCATTTACAACTGACAAACTAGAAGAGAGAAAAGGAGGAGGAAAAGAAGAGAAAGAAGAAGAAGAAGAAGAAGAAGAAGAAGAAGAGGAGGCAGTGGTGAAGGAAAAGGGGGAGAATGAATTGTAAAAAAAAAAAAAAAAAAAAAAAAAAAAAAACGGTAAGGAAGAAAAATGATGACGAGTAAACACAGAAAGAGATTATTACCAGATGAAAAAGAACGGTACAACAATCGGAGACCAAAGATAAACAAGTACCCTGCCCCCCCTACGCAGTCGACGTCCGCCATGCCCGTCCGCCTCACCAGGGCAGCT